AGTGAATATGTAAAATTTAGCATATTACCTAAATGATAAAACCGTGAATATGCCTGACATGTGGAATCAGCTAAATTTAAACTCACTGAAAATTAGTCATTTTACAGTATTATGCAATTTGTATGCAGTAGTCACAATGGAAATATGTGATCGTCGTCTTTGCGGGCATGTAGCCTCTATTGTTTCATAAAGTTCAATTGTCACTGTTGTCCCCAGGAAACGGCAAACAATAGGCAACATTGCAATTAATTTGTATAACAATGATCACTGCTGTTGTATTCATTGTCATGGAAAGTTGGCTCTAATGATAATCCAGAACGAGAGTGGGGACTCCTTCCTCTGAATGCCATACTTTTCGTCAATAAAGGCATACGTTATTAGCTAGGTTAACAACGCATGTTCTTACAATAAATGACAGATGTTTCTACGTTCAAAATATATTATATTTTAATGATCCTGTGTATAATAAATGCAAGGTATGAATTCTGTGTACTACTCAGGGGGTTTTCTAGAAAAAAACTGCAAGAGGGAGCACTGCAATTCAGCGGTGCCACCAAGTGGGGGATATAGGGTTCTCCCTACCAGGGTGGTGTGGAGTTTTTGATAATTCTAAGTTAAAATGGAGCATTCTATGGCTTCTTTAAAATTACTATCAGACAGGTCACAGTTGAAGACTGTGGCCACATGTGATCCCTGGTCAATCAGATTTTTATGGTTGCCAGAGGATCTACTCCCCAGGGTAAGAGGGTGCATGACCATGGCATGAGGGCGCTGCACCCCTGTTCCCTTGGTTCCCGGTTGGGTGGTTGCTGATAATAAACTACATTTATTTATAATGTATAAACTGGTTTTCCCTGTTACCGCCGGTGACAGACCCTAGTGTGCTTAGTCTCTGCATTTGGTTTTCTGGATTTCCAATGGTTTTCAACATCCACTCTTGTTTGATGACATATTTATAAATAGCATCCAATGAAATGGAAGAACACAAGTGATTACACCTGTCACTATCACATGCTAAGCTTGCCAGGTCCCTTCATTCTTATTTTATTTTCCCTTTCTCATTGCATCGTCATCTCCTTCAACACATTGTGATGTATATTTACAAATCATAAATATCTTATTCAACTTTTTTAAATTTAGTCATAACAGTTATGATTTCTACTGAGTTTTTTTTAACTTTAACCTCAAATCATAAAGTACAGAGTGACATTGATGATGGAACCGACCTACATTACGAGAGGTATTTATAATAATGGAATCTCTCATGCATTAATACAAACAGAGTGCAGAAATGACGACACGTAGTTAATAAATACGTTGCATGCACAATATTTCATACCAAATAAAATGAATAAATTATACTTGTATAGGTTGAACGACAAGGATTTTTCCCCAAAAAAATTTAATATATACAAAAGTAATGTAACTTAATGCCAAGTAGCAAAATATGAAAATTAAATAGGAAAGGTGTATGAGCAGGAAAATTATTATGTCACAACAAAATGAAATGAAATTAAAAATGGTTTTATGTCAATGAAAGTGTAACAGTTTTTTTGATGAATGTGATAAACTGTTTTAATTTCGTGAGTCAGTGAAAATTGTGAAATTTTGTTGCAAAATTTCGCAAAATTCGCAAAATTTGCATTGCCCAAATGCCATAAATTTATAAAAATTCACAACAGCGAAAACTAAAGCAGTTTAAAGTGCCGGTGCAATGCCCACCCTCACGTTTCCCATTTTAGACCTGTGTCCCACTGAAATGGGCAGTTATTGATTTTTTTGCTGAAATTGATTACTCGTATCCAAGTAAATTTGGGATATTTCTAGTGTTGTAGCCACGCCCACCTATCCTGAAACGGTCGACTGTTTCCGGATTTCCGACTCTCGCCGAAAGTGCGCCACCAAATGACAAAATGTGAAAGGAAGTCATACCCCTGAGCCGTAATAACACTGGTCATTCAGTATACTTGTGAACGATATACATTTTTCAGTCGGCGTTTTTTTTTTTTTTGTCTATTTTATTTTTTTTTGAGAGAGAGTTTTTAGATGTTGTGTTGTGGGCAGTTGCAGTGAAACGTATAGTCATAGTGTAAGTATTCACACGTTTCTAATCGATCCGAAGGTGCGACATCAGTGGACGAAAGCCACTTAACCTCAGATTCTTTTTTTTTTTGTGAAAAAATAACTAGGTTTAAAGAGAAAAGCCGACAACGTAAACCTGGCACAACACTTTTGAAAGAAATAGATTACAGACCAGCCCATGATCACCGTGGCAGATTTCAGAAGAGAGAGAGACGTCCGGCAAGTGTTTCAAATGAGTTGACTTTTGTTTATCCTTCTATAGAGACCATTTAGTCCCTGTTAAGTAAAAGGTAAGAATAATTTTGACAGTGACACGAAAACGAAGCGTCGGACAAACAGGAAATTACACAGCCTCACACACTGCTAATTGTTTCCATTTTCGAAGGCTAAAGCACAAATTGTTTGGTGATTGGTGTTGAATGTCGAATTCACATCTCTGTTCATTATTTACTTCCATGCTTGCAGCTTGATATGCGTAATAATTTATGAAATAAGAATCCGGGCTTGGTCAATGCATGGAGCTAAAATAATCTTATTTTAGCTCCATGGTCAATGTGTTACCACCAAGTTTTAATATGATGTTATAATTATGACAATCACGCCATGGATGACGCTAACACGAATCCACTCTGAATTTATCTGTATGTGTGGTGATTTTGATTATTTTTTGTTATCCAATTAAACGCCGCTTTTAACGCACTTGCCCTCGTCGTGACCCAACGCGTATATTTCCACACAGCTGTCATTTATTTAGTAACTGTGATTTGTCGTTTTTCACTATAGTCTTATGTTTAGAATGTCAAAATATGTTCTCTTTTATTTTAATTTTGAAAGTTTTACTCAGACGATCGATGAAATAAAACAGTGTAGTGACGTGCCGAGTGACCTGCAAAATAACTAGATAATTCCAACGTCAAATTCTATTTTGTCTAGCGACAGTGACCAGCTACACCAGAACAGACATATTTCGCATCTTAAACTCAACCCCATGCAACAAAAATTAATACTATGTGTTCATTATGGTCCATTCTTCCTCGACGAACAAGTACACAAGTGACAATTTAATCAAAAACGAGAAAACTGCACAAGAAATTTGCCTTATTTACACTTATTGGCAATGCAAGCTGCCATGCGACTTCCCCTTCTGACGTCACAAGGGGAATTTCTGTATGCAAATGAGAAGCTAATGAGGAGCCTCGTTTTAAAATACACAAAAATAAAGTTGCCGTAGACTGAGTTTAAAAAGCATTTTTTTTACTTAAAAAAAATAATTCATGCTTAGAAACATAAAAATTAATAATATTTATGTATCAATGGATAATTTTAGGCGTGAAAATAGCAGCCATTTCACAGGCACTTTAAGGTACTTTTTGTTGAAAATGTTGGTTGTTTTGTATGAAGTTTATTTTCACTGATTTTTGATGAGTTGAATATAAAATATACAGGAAAAAAGAATTTCACTGGAATTTATTTCCACATATTCACCATTTCAGCACAAGTAAAATCCAAGTGAAAATCAAAGAAAGCTTAGAAAGAACTCCCGTGTGGACACACTAAAATTAATTCAAAATTTAAGATTAGCCTTTAAAACGAGAAGCTTGGCAACTAATATTTGTCTGTTATTTGATATGCACAACTTGTCAACATTATCAAAACTTATAATACATACAGAAAATACATTTGATTTTACATCAACGGTTTTTAGTCTAATTCCAGAGCACCTCTGTGATGACTTCATATTAAATCGGATTTTTTTAGATATCAGAAATGGGCTAATAATAGATAATGAATATGCAGGTTTTTCAGCATTAAACTAATCACGTCTGTAGATTACCCAATGAAACAAATGAATTATTATACAAATTAAGCAATTATTACGCATAGATTTAGGTCTGTATATTGTTTCATAGTGCATATATACAAAGTTTCATTATAATGTGATGATTAATCCTAACTAAATTAGTGGAAAGCTGAACGGTAAAGTCTTGTGCAAATTAGGTAATTATTGTAGATGTATATAAACCCAAAACTAATTAGACTGTCACATTGTGACATTGCCGAAAACTGACTACTAGTATTCATTATGCAAATTAGGTACTTAATATGCATGGCATTTTACCCAAAACTAATTAAATCTGTACATTAGTCCATAGCCTATTTGTGTACCAAGTTTCATCAAAATCCAATGAATGGCTCTTTAGATATCAGTGGAACAATCATTTAACAGCTAAAAATTTGCTAATTATCATGCAAATTAGATAATTAATATGCATGAATTTCAACCAAAACCTGATCAAATCTGCACTTTAGCGCAGAGAATCTATTTACCAAGTTTCATTAAAAACCAACATACGGTTCTTGAGATATCAGTGGAACAGATGGACAGACAGACAGATAGACAAATTTTACCACGAAATTCTGGCTTCTTCGCATATTGCAGAGTAGCCTCTCTCATTTGCCTATAAATATTAATTAATTATTTCCTATTAATTATTTGCCATTAATTATTTCCATACATACATACATACTTTTATGATCAATCAGTCTAATCAGTTGGGTTACCAGGCAACCAAAAGTAAGTGTGCCCGAGTCAATGTGGCAGAATTTGGTGATGTATCAACGCTGTATAGGGTGTTAACTCCATATTGGATGCAGGCCACACACCCCCATCACCATGCCCTCTACAGTGACAAATGTTTTAATGGTCATAAAATATGTTTAAGATTACAAAAATTATATTTTTTTTACACTCTCATATAGAGGGCAAATATGGTATACAGTAGTTCTTAAGCCACAACCTGGGTAAAAGAAGAGCTCTTATTTTTAGAGAGAGGGCATCCCAGGAGTTTTTTTCGGGGAATCGACAATAGAGTAATCTTGAAAATAATGTTTATTAAAATTGTAAATTTTTCACATACCGGCAGCTTTTGGTAGCGAAGCTCTTCCAATCAGATCCCAGTTGGTTCCGCCACAAAAAAGTAGGTCACCACTCGTTTTGGATCCTTCCAGTCTCTGAAAAGATGAAACACGTTTAACATTTTATAAAAGTCATTCTGGACTGAAGCACACATTACTTGCAATAAGTCCTGACCCATAAAATAATTTCTTCCTTAGATTCAACATTTGTGAAACTTCAAAATGTAGTAGCACACAAGCCTATTTAACACAAACCGAACATTGATGGCGCTGTTGAAAGATATTGATAAATTTGAATCTGGTGTTTGCAAATTGTGACAAGCTGTGAAAATTGTGTATTTTCAAAGCCAAAATAATTGTTTCATTTTCGGAATTAACATTTTTTGCTCCCGGAATTTAATTTACTGTATATATGCTTTTATTGAAGATGTGCTTCTAATAGAGCAAATATGCCATTCAATGAAAAATCAGTCACTTTTGGTACATTACATTAAGGTTATAGAAACTATAAATTTTTGCTAATTGCAATTTTCCAAAAAAAAAGCCTGAATTATTTAGAAAATCAGTTATTACAAAAGCATATTTTTTTTTGTCAACTGAAACAACTTCTATTGAGGGGATACAAATAATTAAGCAGACCACAAATGTAAAACAAGTTCGTAACCTCCATTCATCAACGATGTTTTCAGTTCGTTTTGTAATCACGTACACACCAGCCATCAATTATCAACTTCATATACTGTGGAATACTTTATTTTCGCTAGAATTCATTTTCACTGAAAAGGCTTTTGAGGGCATTGTGTATGGAATTTATTTTCACTGATTTTTGATGAGTTTAATGTAAAATATAGGAATCATTCCTTCAGCAAAAATAAATTCCAAGCAAAAATAAAGTATTCTACAGTAATTCTTTATGACATTTAAGTAACATAAGTGTGGCATATGTAACGGAGAAAATATAGATCCATTATATGTTATAGCCATTATCTCCATCATGACTTGATATCGAAAAAACGCGTTTCATTGAAAATAAAAAATGACACTCAAATTAATCACATGCACCCACATTTTGTTATTTTGGTATCAAGAATTTCTGATTTTTATAAAACCCTACAGAGCATTATTGCATGAGCCATTGCCATGGAAACAACAACCGGCAAACATCTGCTTTCCCGCTTATTTGAAGTTATATTGATTCTCCACACAGGATCGAATTGGCCAATGGGTACCTCCGACAAGCATAACAAATACTATAATTTGCTACCCCCTGAAACACTGAAACTAGTCAGTACGAAAATCGAGTGTTTAAATTAATCACAAAATCAAACTTAAAGGGCGCCAGTCATCACGCCACTTCCTGTTCGATATGTGACTCATAGCGACGTATACAACGCGTGTGAAATACATTGTTTATTTACATGAAATTCGAACACGCGCTGCGCGACGGCCACCGCGCTTTAATTTTTATTAATGTAATCACTCAAGGCCACATTTAGGAGACTATTCTAAACTCAATTTAAATATTTTGTTGAATAAGATTGCTTAAGTTTACAAAAACCAAAATGGTTCTTGAAAGATTCCATGTAATTATTTGCATAGATCATGCTGGGAATGCTCAGGAACCCATTTCACCATCAGTTCCCTCTTTTCATTACAAATTCACAAAATAATTTTGTTTATAGTCTACACTTTCCTTCAGAAGATTGGTACATAAATAGCCAAAATTTTTGAGTAAAAACTGAAAATTTACTCAAATTTTGTCTGTTGGCTCTAAAATGAGGGTTCATTTCCAGAAATATTGAAGAATATAAAAAAAAAGTGCAGAACAATTTAGACTAGAAAGTCTGGTTAAAGAGTTGCCGCAATGATAAGTTGCAAAAAAGTGGCTCAAAAAATGTTCAGTATGTACAACGACCACAGCAATATTTCTAACACTCATCAAGCATATAATAGTATAATTGCAAGAATACATAATTAGCATAAGCTAGCAACATGACCAGGGGCAAGGGCTTTCAACAACATACATTAAGAAAAAAAAAACATGTTGCTATCAATAGTTCAGCATCACCCTTTCAGAAATGAAATGAAGGCAGTTTTTACAACATTCCATTTGAGTGAAAATAAAACACAGTCATACATTGTACATTACACATGGGACTTGTATCACATGACCACCAACATTCAATTTATTGTCCCAAATAATTTGAACTTGATTTTCAATTTGTGTTATGACCAATATCAAATTGGTGACTACTTCTATATAAAGACTACCTGCCTATAGTGACTACTTTTTAGGAAGTCCCAAGGTATAATGTATGACCAGCCTGTGTATAAAGACCACCTGCCTATAGTGACCACTTTTAGGCAGTCCCAAGGAATAACGCAAGAAACCAGTGTAATATAAACCACCTGTCTAAAGCCCTTCACACACCCTGCTACAATGCGATGCCATGAGACTGTCACAAACATGACAAAAATAGTGCGATTACCATGACTCACAGTAAAAACTGAAGACTAGCATCACCATGCACTATGGTAAGATGTAGCACATAATTTATTTGTTGTTTCCTGGTTTTATAAGTATGCAAATTAGTATGCAAATTAGCATGCAAATTAGTCCGCCATGCTTGCCTCTGAGCCTGGGGAGAACACTGGGTTTTATAAGTCAACACATGTGATGCAACAAAGGTGCAGGCTTCCAGAATCAACACAACGTAGACCATATCGCAATACTAAATCATAGTGAATTGTTGGATAGTATGACTGAATCAAACAGTACACCATGCAGCCCAAGCAACCAGACATAACTGTCGAACAATGCACTAACATTTAGATTTTCAATATGGTGTATGACACGATAAAACAGAGCATATTTTTATCTGTAATCCACTTATTAATTGCACCCTTTGTATTTTATATCAGCAGTGCACATGCACTTAGATAAATGAAAAATGTGCATTCATATTCAAAGTTAGTTGTATCGTATTTGCTCAAATAGAACCTCGTCTCAAATAGAACCACAGATAAACCAAACAGGCATTTAATGTAGATGAATAGTGCCGTGTTTGATATACGCTGCCATTTTGAATATTTCCCAGGTTTTAAGTTTCCAAACCCCAAAAAATGCTAAACTTAATCAACCACCTTGAAATATACAGACTTGCAACCAACAACCAACTTTAACTATAATAATAAAAAAACTTTTTAAAAAAAATGGCTTTCCTATGATGAAACTATTGTACTACACCCACATTTAAACATATTTATTGCTTAATCCAGACATTTATTACTAGTATTTACAAAAGCACATGCGCTTCTTATACAGGAAATACAGGAGATCTTTTAATATTTCATCATACAGTCAAACCTGTCTATAAAGGACAGTCAGTGGACTGAGCCAAACTGTCCTTTATAGACAGGTGGTCTTTATATGGAGGTGGCCTAATTTATTCATGTAATCATGAATATTAATTAGGGTGGGAATTTTAAGGGAGATCATCAGCAAAACAAACCTACAATGAATTGGTCTTTTTAATAAGTCACTCATTTTCATCTGGATAATTACACAGCTTTACTTTTTTACTACAAATTATATCATGTAAATTCACTGAAACCAAGTGATTCTGCCCATGGA